GTCGGAGTGTAGGACTATGCTCTTCGACCCACGTCCTTCTCACTAAAACCAGGAAAAAGGCTCACTGGTCTTCAATTCATGTCCCACGGCGCGAGGTTTGCACTACGCCATTGAGAAGTGAGGACTACCAAAGTTGGCAAAATGCCAGAAGCATCGCACGCGACACGCGTCGTACGAACGTCGCGGGATCAGATGCGAGCAATGTGCTGAACGGATATTCAGACAGCCCGAAGAGTGAAGAAGTGATAAGAACAATTAGCGAACTGGGGGCGTAACTATCTCGAGTGTCGAATAGAACATGTTTCCACAGCACTTTATCCCCAGGCAGAGATCCCCCAAACTCGAGGATTCAATATTACTTGGATTCCTGACTCGTTCGAGAAAAAAACAGCGAGTACCATAAATTCCCTATGGGTACGAAAATTCCCAGTTCATAGCTTTACAACACAGCCCTGACAGGTGGTAGTTTCTCAGTGGGGGTTTTGAAGGATTTTGGCGGCTTGCGGAAGTCTTCAATGAGAAAGTGAATGGGAACAAACCAGCTTCAATGCGAGCTGCCACGAGTACAACCGTTGTCGAGGAACTATTGATCAAATAAAAGAGATGCGTCACGTGTCGCGCGAAGCGGCTACCGTAACCTCAGACGCTCTCGAATTCGCTTTGGAGCAGGTCACCTCACCTGTCGTGACAATGGAGAGGCTATGTCTCGCCGCAGTGGAGTAGAAGGTTCTCTCTGATGTAAAAAGGGTTCAGACTCATATGAGTGGATTCTTATAAGAAGAGGCAGGACCGTGTACGACCTTTTTCGATGTGCGTGCGATGAAAAATATAAAACAACGGTCTATACAACAAAAGTGCATAAGGCGTTCTTGTCTCTCGCACGACAGCGTTGTACGAAATTCATCGAGAAGGTCGCACTAGACCAGAGGGGAGCGGGTCGTGAAAGCAGAATCGATGAGCACTGAACAGCGCAAAAAAGTCATCGTTTAAGGCAGCGCCCATGTTCATTCGATGTTGCCACGCCCTCTCTGGATATCATAGCCCTCCCTATGAGGATGCAGTATGTACTAGTTTTGCATCTCAAAAAGGCGAGAGGATAGCGCCGTTCGCTAGTGAAGAGTCGGCCGCCCCGCCCACCTGGCCAGCATAGGGTTTTATTAGGTTGTCCGGAAAGTTCTCAGCGTTTTGTGTTACTATTTTTTGTACATTCATTGCTGATTAAAAACTCATTCTCCCTTGCGTCTCAGTAGTACATCCTGAAGAAATTTTTGCGCTATCTGATGGTATAATTGCCGTTTCACCATTGCTTGATAAACCCCCTTTTCCCAAGCAGGGCACAGCGTTCGATGGGGATTCCCCATGGGGGGGGGGGTCGTATTTGGGCTGGGAAAATTTATATTTTTATAGTTGATTTTTCTCGCTTTGCGGACGTTTTCGGAGGGGGGGGTCGTATTTGCTCATTGTTGGAGAGGGGGGGGGCATGTAGTTAAGCATTGGACGTACATCGGCTGACGAGCAAAAATGGGGGGGGTGGGTCTCGTTTAACCAGCCCGTGAAAAAAAAAAAAAGGGGGGGGTCGTAAAAGCTCGACCAAAATCCCCATCGAATGCTGTGCCCTGCCCAAGGCTTTTTGAAGCATGTCGAAGAGCAACTTCGGACGATATTTTTCTTCACAGAGTGCAAATGGTCAATTCCCGCAGTCGAGATACCGAAGAAATTAACCAGGTGGGGGCCCAGTAGTTGTTGGAGGAAAGCACTGTGCGGCAATGGTTCGACAATTTCGTTCTGGAGATTTCAGCCCTTGAAGATGAACCTCGTAGCGGTCGACCTAAAGCAATACCTGACGAGGATTTGAAGGTGTTTATGGAGGCTGCCATCCCAAACAGTTCGAGAGATTGCAGAAAAGCTAGGCGTTGGCAAATCCACTGTTGCGGATGGTCTGAAACGCATTGGGAAGGTGAAAAAACTCGACAAGTGGGTGCCCCACAATTTGAGTGACTGGCAAAATTGGCACGTCTCGAGGTTTCTTCTTCACTTTTGCGCAACAGAAACGACCCATTTTTGGACTGAGTTGTCACCTGTGATGAAAAGTGGATCATGTATGATAACAGGAGACGTTCCGGACACAGTGTTTGGAATAGCCGACCGATGCACCGAGCGCAATTTCCAAAGGCGAATCCTCACGATAAAAAAGATTCTGTCTCACCTGTTGTGGTAATTCGGCTGTGACGCACTATAATAAACCATCACAGCAGAGTCCTACTGTGAAAGAAATCGACAAAATGTACCGAAAATTGCGTCAGCTGCAGCCAGCACTTGTCAACAGAAAGGTCCGATTCCTTTGCATGACAACGCCCGCCCACACGTTTCACAACTCTCTTCAAACATTTTCAGAACTTCCTTGCTGGAAAATACTTCATCAATCAGGACCAGGCAAAAAAGCCTTGATTTCGTGGATTCTCGACCACCCAGTTTTTTTCTTTGTGGGGGATTTGTCGACTAATGTCACATTGGCAAAAGTGTGCTGATTCGAACGGTGCTTATTTCGATTAAATCCGATGAGTATTAAGAAAGTTATGATCGTTTAAAGTGAAACACTCAAACGCTGAGAACTTTCCGGACATCCTAATACCTAGGGAATTTTGCCATGAATTTATTTGCTTTTTCTCCTACTGGCAGGTGTTTATATGATATTCAGCTTCATAACTCACTTATTCTTAAAGCGGTTCTCGGCCGTTTGAAAGGCTAAGCAAAGCAGTTATGCATGGCATCCATCTGGGCGAGGTAACACCCTCTTCACAAGCGGGTGGCGCCATCCTCTCGTATTTTTGAGCTGCCAAATTAGTACATCCTCTACCCTTGTCGACAATTCTGTATTATCTAATCCTATATCGAGGCATATCTAAGGATGGCGTAGGACTATCAAGATTGAATGCTGGAGCGTTGCCTTAATTATTGTGGTGCGGAATCAGTTCCACATAACTGTAGAGAACCTAAAAGTTGGACGACTACAAAATACCAAAATATTCGACTAACAATATCAATGGTTAGCGTAAAATCTTAACACGTGGATGACTAGGTGATACAACACGAACAGGTTCGTGTCGGCCTTTCGAACCTTATGAAAACATTCGTTTGTGCTGACAAAAATTACCATGGAAGTCACATCCTCCCACCACCTCTGCATGGGAGCGTGCACGGCGCAGACTTATATGAAATCGATTGATGATAACCAGACTATGCTTCCACTCAGTTCAACGGGAATATGTGTTGGTAAGACATATCAATGTTTCCGATTGAGTATTTTTACATTGGCACAGGAGTCGAGCTCATGAGAGGCTCAGATTTTTGCCTATCAAAAACCTATCCAAAACTACTTTTAAACCATAGGGTCTTCACTAATGTTGCAACGCTTTTCGAAAAGCAGAAATACTATCCTTCGTGAGGATGTTCCTGGTTTTGGAAAAGATTGGGTACGAAAGAAGGTTTTGTCGTCCGAAGCATAAAAACTCACTTGCGATTTCTACAAAAAACAACTATCCATACAAGAAGAGTGTTCAAAGGTAAGATTCGATGCGGCAGTAAGAAAATTGTAACATGTGGAGATACATCGCTTTACCACTCCGTGCTTTCGCTTTACTGATTCAGAATGCTAGTAAGAAAACGTAACAGTAGAGAGATCGCTTTACACGCCGCCTTTCCTTTACCAAAAGTCCCAAGCCCGAAAAGTATCATTCCCAGAAGAGGCCCTGCAATTTCTACACTGTCAACAATTCTGCTCCAGCGCCATTTTGAGCGGGATCGCAACGCGGCAGCGAGCACTTGCAGATTGTTACGTATTCACTCCTTTTCGTTACAGCCAATGTGAGAGCCAGAGGGGTAGGATCGTAGGTCATACCGACGCCCTCGCTTTGGGGAGGGGGTTCGCACTGACACCGCCATTCTACACATAACGATGCTGTAGCCTGGAACCAGATGAATCTCAAAGGTGCAATCCGCTGTTGTAAATTGTGGGCAAACAAGGTTCGGAAACAAAAGAGCATATGGTAAAGGAGTTACCCGTGAAGAAAAAAAAAGCAGAATTGAACACAGAGGTTTATCCCACAGAAGACCAGGTCCTATTAAGGGCGTAGAGCACTCTAAATAAGACTCTTGTTGACCAGCACGCGGCAAAGAGACAGTGAGCACGGAAAGGGTAATAAAGGACCTATGTAATCAAAGGAACAAGCCGGACGAATACGAAATGGACTCAGAAGAGGCCTTCCTATCCTTTCACTCGGCGAGGCATCATCATATATGGGCGGGCGGCGGGTTTTTAGAGTCCTTATCAAGCAATTGTGAGCGCAGTTTATGTGATTGATGGCAACACCACCCTGTACAAAGAAGAATTCCTACTCATCCCTTAATCACGGGCTGTTTCTTTATTACCGGATTAGCTTTTGAGTTCAGTTGGGTGTCCGCCTTCACATTATGAAATTCTTTTGAGCATACAGGAAGGTCGCTACGACGTTAACATGGTTAGTCCGATAAAAGTGTCTTTGGAGCGTTCCTGATGCAGCAATCCCCACATTTCGGCGACTTTTCGTCATGCTTCTCTGAGCTTCATGTGTGGTGTAGCACATTTTAAATTTTCATTTTCAGACCCGGCCCTCGACGATTCCTGCGACTCCGCAGTGACGATGGTGCTGTATGTTCAAGTTCCTGACACCCGCTTAGTCGGACCGCCTATTCAAGAACGCCCTTTTTACGGTTAACGCAAGGGCGCTCAGTTGTTCTTTGGTGGAGTGGCGAGCATAACTCCGAAATGCGTGTCCTTTTTTGCTAACAGTGCTCCTGCTCAAAGGTAATTCAGCTCTTCATTACTACTTTTTTCATTAGGCGCACATACAGTCAATAGCAATCAATACTATAAGGAGACGTATCCAATGCGGCAGGGTCACTCTGCCACCATGAAACGAGCACGTCCGAGGAACTCGTGAATTGCGAGGGGGTTCTTATTTAGGTGTCCCCGATGATTTTTCTGAGCTTCTTTTCTTTCCAGGAGAGTGGCTTAGCGACTATAGGTTAGGTTATTGAACACCACTACCCACAGTATGCAATCGCGGTGTTTGCATTTGAGTCTACATTCCTTATCCCTGAGCCAGAGTAGGCGTGGCATTTGACAGTACACACGACAACGTGTCAAGATGAAAGTATCTCACCAGAAGCATAGACGCCTTCAGGTTGAAGGCAGTTGGCACGATGGTTTCCCACTCGGCCTAAAATGCTAGTAGGGCGCTATGTTGGAAAATGGCAAAAGATCGGAGTGAAACGGCCAAAATCCGGCGAAGAAAATGCCTCCGTTTCAGTGACTTAAAAACCGATTTTGGACGACTTTCCCGTACCCATCTACCAATCACGCCTACGGATAAAATATCGCTGCACTATGTGTGCCCAGTAATGCATGCCAGATCACGGCCCCTTATACGCAATATGGCCCTTTGCTTTCATAATTTGCTCAAATGGCGGGCGGGCGAGGAAGGCGTTTGGGACGGAATGTTGTTGCTCGATAGGGCGTTATAGGGGTACCCTCCTTGGAAAAGGCGCCACGAGCGCCTGTCCGAGGTCACGGAATTCTTTTAAGTCAGTCGCATAAATCCTACATCTGTGCAGCGATTTATCATGTCAACTGTCTTTGAATTGAAGCATGCAGCCACGCCTACCCGATCTCAGGGATTTCGAGTATATACTGTAATTCGCTGCGGACGGTGGGGCGTGTCTGTGCGGCTGCATTTGACGTGGTGCCAAACTCGTTCTCCACCTGTTGTTGAAGCGGGCAAGTGAAAATACTGTATCATATAATCCGTATTACTCGTTTTCTACCACTTTTTGTCGCATGCGCTTTCAACAAGGCAGCAGAGAAAGGCTCTGAAAGTGTGAACACTCATACTGGCTGACACGCCCAACCGTCCGCAGCGAACTAGAGTGTACCTAGAAACAGCACCAAGGAACGCTTAACGTCGCGTGCATCAAACAACCCGTTTGAATATGCGTGTTCGTGAAAGCAAGAACTGTGGCATTTCCGATGCAGCAGTCAATTAGATCTGGTCCTGCAGTTTTCCGGGATGTCCACTTTCCGCTGGCTTCCGTTGCGGACCTCATCAGCGGCAGTTCTGATCCTCCCCTCTCACCGCTTCTCCCGCTCACACAAGCCATCAGGGTATCGCTTTGCTAACATGAAACGAGCAGGTCCGGCGGACTCGTATAAAGAAGCTGCCAGGTCCTTAGAGACTCACCATAATTTTTTTTTGAGTTCTTCCTTCCCCTGGGTTAGCTTAGGGGCGATTCAAGCTTTGTAACAGAGTGCGGCACCTATCTACGCGAATATGCAATCTGGCGAGGTTGTCTTCAAATACAGAACTAAACAATCCCTGAACCAAGAAATTTCGACAGATGTCGAATAGGCTTTGGAAAAATCCGTTGAAAGTAGTGTTTGAAAGTGACGAGCTCTCAGTTGGAGGTGATTTTCAAGCTTTTCATTTTTTTGGTTTTTGGAATTCGGAATTCATTGTGAGTGCACCTGCGGCAGACAGTTGTGTCTCAATACAGGCACAGATAGGAGAAGATTTCGGGAGCACATGAAAAGGGGACAAGACAATTGTCATTTGTCGCGTTGGCACGCGCGCTGTATCGTGCAGCCATTCGCGGGAAATCCTCAATGTGCATCAATTTGTCGAGCGGGGCTTGTATGAGTTCGAGCAAGTTGTTAGTCGCTACGCGGTGAATGGCGAGATCAAATGGGTTATTATCTGAAGAAATATTTTCTGATCTAATTTCCACTTTAAATATTTTGTTGACCTGGCGGCTTGACAAGATTGTTCCAGTTTTGTACGGGAGTTCACAAGTTTCACCAAAGTGAGATATGCCAACCGGAACCAAAAGCAGCGAAAGTGCAAAACGCCCCCTATACCCATCACATCGCAGAGCTGCCCGATTTTGTAACGTACTCTGGCACGACGTCCTGGATTGTTTCTTGCAATGAGCCGACTCGCGCCGCGACACTCTTCACAACAAAGACTCGTACCGCACACAGCATCAGTTTCCCACCCCACACACGGCACACATCACTCACACACCCCCCCTTCACACACAACGAAAGATGTTACAACCTTTGGGGTGGATTGTTAGCGGCTCTGCATTTCTATACAATTCAGTAAACAATTTGGATGATATCACTGCTTGGTCGCTATAATTCCCCCTACTGCACATTCAAAGATTGCCGGAACTGATTTTGCATCGCAGGCTGATTCAGTGCTGGTGCGAGTGCGAAATGCATTTGTGCCAAAGTGTTCGAATCCCGTGACTTCTGTATTGAAAGACGCGTAACATCACAGCGCAGAAAGAGCGAACCGGCGACGCTTATCGATCCCCCGATTGGAAAAATGGAGGGAGGAGATGGAATGAAATGAGTTCTTCAGCCTGGCATGGAAAATATGTAGGATATGACCTTTCTTATGCCATTTTATCGGTTTGGATGAATTTCTGGTATATTGGAGGGGTTCTCTGCCGATGCGCAAGGGTGAGCACGGGTCACAACATATAGATCTCTGACTTGCAACATCTGCTCCATTAAAGGCATATGGCACGATAATTTGGTGCTCGGTCTAAAATGCTAGCAGAGTGCTATTTAGTGGGGAAAATGGCGAAACAACGAAGTGAAACGGTCAGAAACCTACAGTAGAAGGCCCTTTGTTCTACACGACTCAGAAAGCAATTCCGGACGAGTTTCCCGTTGGCATCGTGCCAATAACCGCTACGGTAGATACGGCTGCATGTATGTACTCATATATCCATGCAGCACCGCAGCCGCTTCATATCAATCCCTTCGCTTCATATTTTACTTTGCAAATGAAGCAATACGAGCATCAGGTACGGTCGTAAGACGGGCGGGCGCAGTGGGTGTCTGGGTTTGGTATGTTGCAGCTTGATAGGGTCTTATAAGGGTACCTTGGAAAAGGCGCTACGCAGCGCCTGTTTGGGGCGTGGAATCGTCCTGCCTGGTATTATCCTACTCGTCTTAGAGATTTAACGTGCCGACTGCCTTTAAGGTCAGCAACTTAGGTAACCCTTGAAAAAGGACGCGCTTCAACGAGGCGCACCGGTGTGAGCTATGTCAGTGTCGAATGGAACCACAAGTTGAACTATTAGGTCATCCCATTCAAAAGTGCCGAGACATATAGAGGAATGGCAGAAAAGCAAAGGGGATAGAGCAGCGGGCTACTATACCATTTGGAGGCTAGTACCTTTAGCTGTGTATCTGTGAAATTTGGCGAACCTACCCACAGAAGTTCTCGAGAAATTGAAAAGAAGCCCGAGTGGTGAAAATCAGCGCCGGATTTTCAAATCAGGCGTCATAAGAGGAAAGTGCGCTGCTCAAATTTGACCTGCGCCGGACCAGTAGTTGTGTGTAATGGTGTTCTCGAAATACAAGGTGGAAGGTTTGGTTCAGGAGCCCAAGGAAGAAAGGAAAAAATTTGTTGTCGTGGATGGTCCCATAATGTTCATCCTGCACAAGAAAAAAGGGTGGATGAAGTCAAGCGCTGAATGTCTGATCACAGAGCCTGGACCTTGTCGAGACTGACATCCCTGCTGCAACTGCTGCCCGAGTTATGTCCGATAAACTGAGGATGGTCAAGAGGGTGTGCGCATGGGTACCTAATTTTCTTGTAGAAGCACGAACGCAGTACCGATTCTATGCCTCTAGCAGTAATGTTCTCAGCATGAGATGTCATTCACGACTGTGAAAACGCACCCCGGCCCTAGATGAAATATGGGTGGTCTTGGACCTCGAGCCAAAACTCACAATCGTCAATTTTGTATGAATGCAGATGAGAAGCCGCCCGAGTTCTACCATGAAGAGTTACGTGGGCGCAAGTGGATGATCATCATAGCGAAGGATTCCCACACTGTGGCTTTCAGGCGGCTCTATACAGAGAATAAAATCGTCGCTGTCGTATATTGCCTGTTCCTCGGCAATCAGATCGACAAATGGATGATACCACACAAGAAGGCCACCGTTGCTCGTCATAGTGCCAGACCCCGAGTAACTGTATTGTAGGGCAGTGCTGGGACACAAACAATACTGAGACCTGGGTTCAATCGCCCCATTCGCCCAACATAAAGCCGTTCGATTCCAACTGTTCTGGTCAGTCGAGAGTACTCTCCGACGGCAAACGCTACAATGTTTGTCATTCGCCGAAATTGGCATCAGCAGCAATTTACTCACACTTGTTGAAAAAACGAGCGTACCAGAGGTCCAAAGGCTTTCGGGGCACTGGGAGCGGGTCATTGGTGAAGGAGGGATCTTACTTAACTTGAAGCCAAAATATTACTTTTTTATCTATTTCCTCTTCTTTTGTATGAATGAAATCTTGCGCACATTTGAATGGGATGATCTAATGTTATATTGGGCTGGCTCGAAAGTGATGGCGTTTTTTTTTCTCACACAAATTTGTACATGAAAAGTGAAAGTCATTTCTATTGAAGACTACGCTATTCGATGGATAATTTTACGCGCCTTCCTACTTATTTCTTGATTTCTGTACTGTGCATGTAATTTTTGACACAACTTTTCGCACCTTAT